GGAGGAAACTGGAGCACCCGAAGGAAAACCACACAGACACAAGGAGAACGTGCAAACTCGAGCATAGATGCACCATAGAACATAGAACAGTACAGCACAGTACAGGCCCTTTGGTCCACGATGTTGTGCCGAACTTTTACTCTAAACCTAAGGTCTATCTAACCTCCACCCCTACCTTATCCTATCATCCATATGCCTATCTAATAGCCGCTTACATGCCCCTAATGAGACCGACTCCACTACCCTCTCCGGCAATGCATTCCACGCCCCTACCACTCTCTGAGTAAAGAACTTACCTCTGACGTCTCCCCTGTACCTACCTCCACTCACTTTAAAACTATGCCCCCTCATAATAGCTACCTCCACCCTAGGAAAAAGTCTCTGGCTGTCCACTCTACCTATACCTCTGATCATAGAAAGCATTCTATTGGATGCATTACGGTTTGATACAGCAACTGGTCTGCCCAGGACTATAAGAAACTACAGAGAGATGTGAACACAGCCCAGCCAATCGCACAAGCCAACCTTCCATTCATTGTTCAGTTCTGAGGAAGGGTCACCAGACCTGAAACGTTAACTCTGTTTTCAAATACATATGCCCAGAAAATTACAGCCTAGGCCTCTGGATTACTAATCCAGTCACATGACTACCACATCATTGTTTCTTCTAAATGGCTTCAGGTGATCAGGGATTTCAGATATTTGGATAGATCAGTAAAGCTGGGGCTTTTTGTCCTTAGAGAAAGGGTTGAGAGAAGATTGAACAGAGATGTTCAATAATGAGGGGTCTGGGCAGAGTAGATAAAGAAACAATTTCATTCAGCAGAGGATTAAGAACCAGAGGATATCAGTTTAAGGTGATTGACAAAGAAGCAATAGTGACATGAGGAAAATCATTCTTTAAGTGCCAATCATAAGAAACCCCCTGATGGTTGCTAAATTTCCTGATGTCACAATAACAAGTAGAAAAGCAAGTTAAAAATAAGACACAAGGAAGTTAGAAAGGAGTATAAATAGGTTTGTTGGATAAAGGTATGGCAAGTGGAGTATAATGTGGGAAAATGAGAAATCATTAATTTTAGTAGGATGAATAGAATAAAGCATATTAACTAGGGGATGAGATATCGCAGAGTCATTGAGTCATAGAGTTATTCAGCATGAAAACAAACCCTTTGGTCCAACTGACCAGATATCCTAAATTAATCTAGTCCCATTTGGCCCATACCCATCTAACCCCTTCCTATCCATATACCCATCCAGATACCTTTTAAATGTTGTAATTGTACCAGCTTCCACCACTTCCTCTGACAGCTCATTCCATACATGCACCACCCTCTGCATGAAGAAGTTACCCCTCAGGTCCTTTTTAAATCTTTAAGCTCTGAGATGCAGAGGAATCTGGGTGTCCTTGTGCATACATTGTAAAAGTTAAGTGTGCAGGAACAGCAAGTAATTAGAAAAACTAATAAAATGTTATAATTTGTGAGGGAAATGGAATACAAAAGTAGGGGGTTATGCTTCAGTTACACAGAGCACTAGTGAGACCACAACTGAAATACTATGTGCAATATTAGTTACCTTATTCAAGAAAAGATGGCAGTTCAGAAAATGATACAGGGCTAATACTTGGAAAGAGTGGGTTGTCTTATGAGGAAAGGCTGGACAGGCTTAACCTGCAACCATAAGAGTTTACAGGAGTGAGAGGTAATTAGATTGAAATGTATCAGATCATGAATATTCTCTGCAGATTGGATTTAGAGAGGATGTTTCCTCTTGTGGGACACTCTAGAACAAGGGGTCACTATTAAACCAGGGATTGCTCAATTAAGACAGGGATGAGAATATTTTTCTCTCAGAGTATTGAGAGTCTTTGGAAATTTCCTGTAAGGTGATGGAAGTAGAAATGAACAGATTTTTGATAAGCAAGGGATGAAAGGTTATTTGGGGTACAGGGGAGAATTGACAGATATGTGGAGTTGAAGTTTACAATCTTAATAATTGGCAGAGAAGACTCAAGAGGTCAAATGGCTGACCCGTGCTCCAAATTCACACATTCAAATGTTCGCATAAACTCTTCCGTCAGGCAGAAGATGCCGAAACTTGAACACATGCACCAGCAGGTTCAAGAACAGCTTCTTCCCTGCCATTATTAGACTGATGAATGGACAATCTAACTTCAAATAATGTGAATTTTGCTAATGTTGATCTTGCTTCGCGCACCTCCTATGCAGTGTAACCTGTATGCCTCACTCTGTCTAAACATCTTTATGTACTTGCTTGTTGTGATCTGCCTGTACTGCTCGCAAAGCTTTTCACTGTACTTATGTAAACATGACTATAATAAATCAACTCAAATTAAAGAACACAAAAGGATGAATGGCCTCCTCCTGTATTATGAATATTCTATGATTCTATGAAGTCAAGTTTGATTAAATTTGTCATTTGCACAAAACCTCAAAATTCTTCGGGCAGCACTCAGCGTTTGCACTGACTAGAGGGAAGCAGCATATCAGACATCTGTAAAATCACTGAACTTCAAGAACAGACATCACACAACACCAGGTAATAGTCCAACAAGTTTACTTGAAAATTCAAACTTTCGGAGCCTCAGTCCTTCGTCAGGTGTTAGTGAGAGAGTATCAGACACAGAATTTATAAGTAAAAGATCAAAGGGTCACATCACTGATGAGGATGTATTAAACAAACCTAAGATGCTGTTAAACCTTTAATAAGTTAGAAGGTTTTAATTGATTAATATGTGTATGTAAATCCTCGAATTCCTTTAAAATCACGGTCCTGAGAGAACCAAATGTTTTACTATTGTAAAGAAAAAGTGACATTTTAGGTCAGACAATGCATGTTAGGTGTGAAGCCTGGTTTAGAATCTGTTTGTGTTTTACCTTGGAGTCAGACTGGTTGTATTTCTAAAGTAGGAATCTACGAAATGCCACATTGACTGACTGTCTATAAATTGTGTGCTTTTTGAATAAAATAAAATGTATGTGAAAATATAAATTCACCCCATAGATTCATGCGTGCGTGCGGGAGGAGACAGCAGGCTAGGGGGCAAGAGAGCAGGCAAGAGGGGAGAGAACGTATGTATGTGTGTACGTGCGCATGTGTGAGTGAGTATGTGTATGCGTGACAGCGTATAGTGTGGTGGGGTCACCTGTAGTGCGACATGAACCCAAGATCCGGGTTGATGCTGTTCTCATGGGGACTGAACTTGACTATCAGCCTCTGCTCGGCAACTCTGCATTGTTATGTATCCCGAAATCCTCTTTGGGGGACAATTACCCGAAGATCCAAGGCCAAATGTCCTTGACCTCTGAAGTATTCCCCGACTGGAAGGGAACATCCCTGTTTGGTGATTGTTGGGCACTGTCCATTCATCTGTTGTATTAGTGTCTGCATGGTCTCACCAATGTACCATGCCTCAGGGCATCCTTACCTGGAGCATATGAGATAGACAATGTTGGCCAAGTCACGAGTATCTGTCGTGTATGTGGTGGGTGGTGTTCCCACATGTGATGGTAGTGTCCATGTTGATGGTCTGATATGTCTTGCAGAGGTTGCCATGACAGGGTTGTGTGATGTTGTGGCCGATGTTGTCCGGTTGGGTAGTTTGCTGCGAACGATGGTCTGTTTAAGGTTTGGCAGTTGTTTGAAGGTGAGAAGTGGAGGCGTGGTGAAGATCTTGGCAATTTGCTCATCGTCATCGATAACGTGTTGAAGGCTGTGAAGAACATGGCGTAGTTTCTCCGCTCCAGTGAAGTACTGGACAATGAAGGGCACCCTATCGGACGTATTGTGTCCCCATCTTCTGAGGAGGTCATTCCGGTTTTTCACTGTGGCACATTGAAACTGGCGATCAATGAGCTGAGCATTGTGTCCTGTTTGTATGAGGGCGTCCTTCAAAACCTTCAGGTATCTGTCTCATTCCTCCTCATCCAAACAGAATCTGTGTATGTGTAGGGCTGTTTTAATATGTTGCAGGTGAAAGCTAGAGAAATGCAGCAGTGTGAGGTTATCCATGGACTTGTGATGTACTGAGGTGTCCATTCCTGAAGGAGATACATGTGTCCAAGAATGAGACGGACTCTAAAGAGTAGCCCGCGGTGGGATGAAACTTGCTGATATCACTCTGTCGTTATCTTAGTGATTCCACACCATGAGTCCCCAAACAGGGATGCTCCCACCCAGTGGGGGAACAGTTCAGAGGTCAAGGACAATCGGTCTCAGATTGACGGGTAAACATCTTCCAAGGTGGGCTTCGGGATAGACAACGCAGAGTCATCGAACAAAGGCTGATAGCCAAGTTCAGTGCCCGTGAGGACAGCATCAACCAGGATCTTGGGTTCATGTCGCTGTACAGATGACCCCACCCCACTATCTCTCTCACACATACACACACTTTCTCTCCCCCCTCTCACTCACACAAACACATGAATCTATGGGGTGAATTTGTATTTGCAGATACATTCTATTTTGTTCAAAAAGCACATGATTTAAAGACAATGTGGCATTTTATTAATTCCTACTTGAGAAATACAACCAGTCTGACTCCAAACCAAAACACAAACAGATTCTAAACAAGGTCTCACACCTAACATGCATTTTCTGACATAAAACATGACCTCTTCTTTACACTGATAAGACCTTTATTTCTCTCAGGACTGTGACTTGAAAGGAATTCGGGGATTTGCATATACATATTAATCAATTAAAACCTTCTAACTGATTAAAACTTTAACAGCATCTTGGGTTTGTTTAGTGCATCCTCATCAATGGTGTGGAACCTTTGATCTTTTACTTAAAAATTCTGTGTCCAATACTACCTCTCTCACTAACACCTGAAGAAGGACTGAGGCTCCGAGAGCTTGGGTTTTCAAATACACCTGTTGGACCTGGTGTCATGTTATTTCGGACCTTGTCCGCCCCAGTCCGACACCAGCACCTCCACATCATGAACTTCAGGAAGTTAGATATGGGCCTCTCACCGTATAAGTGTTGCAAATGAGATTGAAGAGCGAATTCACAGCCTCATCCTCCAAATCTTCAGTGTGTTTCTGTAAAAGAGATTGGAATTTGAACAGCAATAACAGAATATTCAAAACAGAACTCAATGAAAAAATGTAAATTATTTTCAGAATCATGTGTGGCCAGAAGCAAGGGGCATTTGGGGTAGCAAGACTGGAATGTAGAGGATGGAGGGGACTGAGTGAAGGTGGTTTGTATAAGGAAGCCTGGAATTACCAGTGACTAGTGCTTTTGATGGGAAGAATAGGCTTGATGGCAGTATTTTGTTCACAGCAAACACCACTCACGTTGCTACAGATGTCTGCCTATCAGAAATGGGGGATACAAATTTCAGTGCTGGTGTGATATCAGGTACACATGTCACAAAGACTGTCAGATTACATCAAATAGCACATCCTTTTGGCCATTCACAATAAACAAGGTCCTGACTGTACCCAACCATCACGTACTTGCAAACCTCACACAACACAGTGTCAACATTGGGTATGATTCTACAATTGGAATATTTGCTGGATAATCCTAAATGTATGAAGAATTACATTGGCAATCTGAAACCGGTTGCCAATCAGGTTCACAGTGCAGTGCGTTTGTGTTCACTGGAAGCTACACATATTCGTACACAGGGCCTGTTCCTTCCAGACAGAAAGAAGGTGTACACACACAGTGCCTGTTTCAAACCCACACTACAGGTGACAGCCCTTTTCTGGTACATTTCGTAGGACAATGTTCTGACTAATCAGATTCAACATGCCTGGTTCAAAATATAAACAAAGCCTGTTAACAGTCAATCAGCATTAATGATTAGATTCTCCATGGTAACAAATCTACCGATCAGAGTCCACTGGCACAACAAATCAGCACTCTCCTTTCATTAGTATAATTGTTTATTTAACCCTTGAACTAATATTTCTATCAAAATGTCCTGATAAGTGTTAGATGACAACTTTTAACAAATTATGAGCCTTGTTGAGGTAATACATTATTTCTAATTGCTTATACCGAATAGATCATGTATATTAGACACACAAACTAAACACGCACCTCAGACAGCGCGACTGAAGACCTTGAGATCAGAACGGCACATGAGGTGATTTCATGCACCAAGGGCACACTGCCTGCCTTCTCTAGAATCTAAACAATAATACAATAGGAAGCATCCTTCCAACTTACTCCATTGACCAGGATCCATGGAACATAGTCATGGGGTGGATTAAGTGCTCTCGTTAGTTCTGAATTGTGATGCATCAGTTTATTCCCGAGATCACCATTGACACAGTTTTCAATGTTGGCCCAAGGCAGTAAGGGCTCATAGACCTGGAGGCACTGCAGAGATCAAAAAGGCAGAGTTATAACTTTGAACATACGCTGCAAAGTCAAAACATATCAGTTTTTCTTCACAATGTTATCCCAGAGAGACCCCGAGGAGTTTGTAAACCAGGCCTCATTCTCGGACAAGAGATAACAAGGTGTAGAGCTGGATGAACACAGCAGGCAAAGCAGCATCAGAGGAGCAGGTAAGCTGACGTTTCGGGTCTGGACCCTTCTTCAGAAATTCAGAAATTCTCAGACAAATTGACTTCTGTTCAATGGGGCTACAACAAAATTGAGCAGGATTGATTGGAATAAGTGGTTGATGGGAAGATCAGGAACTGAATAATCGGGCCACCTTCAAGGACTAAATGGTTCAGGTATGGTCAAGGTATATTACATTGAATGGAAAAGCTAGGACAAAGAAATCTAAAGTTGCCTGGATGACAAAGGAGATAGAAACAACATTAGAAAGAAAATATGTGCTTATGACAGGTATAAGGCCAAAAATACAACTGAAAATACAGTAAGAATAAGAATTCTGAGAAAAGACTATCAGGTAACATAAAGGGAAGTCCCAAAGTTTTTTCTAGGCATATAAATAGTAAGGAAGTGGTTAAAGGAAGAATATGGCATATCAGAGATCAGAAAGGGGATTTACAGGTGCAGGTATTAAATAAATAATTTGCCATCGTGACATCAATCGCCTCAAACTCTCCACCCCTCTCATCACTCCAACCTCTCCCCCACAGAACGTGCAGGCCTCCGCTCCAATCCCAACCTCACCATAAAACCCACGGACAAGGGAGGCACAGTTGTAGTATGGCGCACTGACCTCTACATCGCCAAGGCCAGACGCCAGCTCTCCAACGCCTCCTCCTACCGCCCCCTTGATCATGACCCCAACCCCGACCACCAAGAAGGGTCTAGGCCCGAAACATCAGCTTTCCTGCTCCTCTGATGCTGCTTGGCCTGCTGTGTTCATCCAGATCCACACCTTGTTATCCCAACATACCATTTACCTTCTTTATCGCCTGCTGCACCTGCATGCTTACCTTCAGCACCTGGTGAACAAGGACACCCAGGTCCCACTGCACACTCCCCTCTCCCAATTTACAGCCATTCAGGTAGTGATCTGCCTTCTTGTTTTTGCTTCCAAAGTGAATAACCTCACATTTATCCAAATTATATTGCATCTGCCATTGATTTGCCCATTCACCCAACCTTAACCACATTGACTGGCTCCCCCTTGTCAACTCTACTATTTACATCCTCATAGAATTCCAACAGATTTGTGAAGCATGATTGCCCCTTCATAAATCTATACTGACTGTCTGAACGTACCACTGCTTTCTAAATGCTGCGCTATAAAGTCCTTGATAATGGATTGGAGAATTTTCCCGTCTACCGATGTTAGGCTTACTTGTATATAATTCCCTGTTTTCTCTCTACCTCCCGTTTTGAATATTAGAGTGACATTAGCCACCCTCCAATCTGCAGGGACGTTCCAGAGTCTATAGAATCCCAGAAGATGACCACCAATGCGTCCACTATTTCTACAGCCACTTCCTTAAGTGCCATGGGATGTAGATTATCAGGCCCTGGGGATCTATCCACCTTCAATCCCATCAATTTTCCCAGCACCATTTCTCTACTAATATTGATCACCCTCAGTTCTTCCCTCTCACTAAATCTTGCATTCTCCAACATTTCTGGTATCTGATTTGTGAAAGCAGAATCAAAATTGGTATTCAGTTGCTCAGCCATTTCTTTATCCCCTATTATACGTTCCCCTGTTTCTGTCTGTGGGGGACCTACATTTGTCTTCGCCAATCTCTTTCTCTTCACATATCTATAGAAACACTTAGTGTCAGTCTTTATGTTCGCTGCAAGCTTACTGTCGCACTGTATTTTCCTCTTCTTAATCAATCCCTAGGTCCTTCTTTCCTGAATTCTAAACTGCTCCCAATCCTCAGACATATTATTTCTCTTGGCCAATTTGTATGCTTCTTCCTTGGATTGAATACTTTCTCTAATTTCCTTTGTAAGCCATGGATTTGCCCTCTTACCCATTTTGCTTTTGTGCCACACAGGAATAAAAGTTGTTGCGGTTCCCCCATGCATTCTTTGAGTGTTTGCTATTGCCTTTCCACTGTTATCCCTTTAAGTAATTCTCCCCCAATCTATAAAGGTAACTCACTCATATCTTCATAGTTTCCTTTATTAAGATTCAGCACCCTCATCTATGAATCAACTACCTCACTCTTCATCTTGATAAAAAATTCTATCATGTTATGATCGCTCTTCCCCAAGGGGTCTCACACAGCTAGATCGGCAATGATTCCCTTCTCATTACATAGTTCCCAATCTAAGATGGCCTGCTGTCTAGTTGGTTCCTCTATATAATGGTCAAGAAAGCCATCCCGTATACATTCCAGGAATTCCTCCTCTACGGCATTGTGGCTAATTTGATTTGCCCAATCTGTGTGCAGATAAAAATCACCCATGATCACCAATATTTCCTTATCACATGCATCTCTAATCTCCTATTTAATGCCATTCCCAACATCACCACTGTGCAGTTTGGGGGTCTATACTTGACACCCACTAATTTTTTTTGCCCCTTGATATTTTTCAACTCTACCCATACAGACTCCACATTGTCAGAGCTAATATCCTTTCTCACTATTGTGTTAATTTCCTCTTTAAACAGCAATTCCACTCCACCATCTTTTCCTTTTTGCCTGTCCTTTCTAAATACTGAATATATATTAACAATCTGGATATTGGTGTGCTGGGGACAATTTCCAAGGCTGCAGATGACACGAAATATGGAAGAATTATAAAGTGTGAGGAAGACACATATGGAACTCCAAAAGGATGTTGACAAGTTGGGGGAAGTGGGCAGATAGTTCACAGTTGAGATTCAAAGGAGAAACGTGCGAGGTAATGCATTTTGGTCGGAAGAACCTGGAGAGACAATATAAAATACAGGTTACTGTTCTAAAGTGGGTGTAAGAGCAGAGGAACCTGGGTAAATATGTGCACAAGTCATAGAGAGTGGCTGGACAGGTGTTGAGAAGAGTTAATAAAGCAGTGTTCTTAACTTTATTAAATTGGGGCATTGGACACACAGCAGGGAGGTGACACTTGTTAGACCTCAGCTGGAGCTCTGAATACAGTCATGGGCACCACGTTATAGGAAAAATGCAAATGAATTGAAGACAGTGCAGAAGCAATTTACAAGAATAGTTCAGGAATGAGAAACATCAGTGATGATAGATTGAAGAAGTTTGGACTGTTCTCTCTGGAGAGAAGGCAGCTGAGAGGAAATCTGATTGAGGTTCTCAAAATCATCAACAGCTGGACAGAGTAGACAGGGAGAAGCAGTTTTTGCTTGTAGAAGAAACAAGAGTGAGAGGGTAAAGCTTTAAAGTGATGTGCAAGCGAAGCAAGGGTAATATGAGAAAATACTTTTTCACAAAGCGGATTGTTATGGTATAGAATGTGCTGCCTGGAAGTGTTTTGATTTGATTTATTATAGTCACATGCACCTAAGTACAGCTTTACAAGTAGTACAAGCAGATCATAGCAAACAGGGACATACAAGATCATCGGGTGCTTAGAAAGAGCGAGGCATACAAAGTTACACTGCACAGGAGGTGCACAAAGCAAGATCAATATGAGGAAGATCAATGTTATTTGAAGTTAGAGAGTCCATTCATCAGTCTAATAACGGCAGGGAAGAAGCTGTTCTTGAACCTATTGGTGTGTGTGTTCACCTTTTGGCTTCTTCTGCCTGACGGAAGAGTTTGTAGGAGATCATTACCAGGATGGGAGGGGTCTTTCATGATGTTACAGACAAATAAAAACTGCAGATGCTGGAATCCAAGGTAGATAAACAGGCGGCTGGAAGAACACAGCAAGCCAGGCAGCATCTGGTGGAAAGGAGCAGTCAACGTTTTGGGCATTACCCTTCTTCAGCACTGGATATTGTGGGGTTAGGGGGAGCTGCAGATAAAGGAGGTGGGGGGAGGGGTGGAGGCAGAATGGTGGCAATAGACTCTTTCATGATGTTGGCAGCCTTTCTGTGGTAATGAGCTGCGTAGATGTAGTCCATAGACAGAAGGTTGGCTTCCATGATGGTCTGGGCTGAGCTGGACTGGGCAGGGCACACAACCTTCTGTAGTTTCTTATGTCCTGGGAAGAGCAATTGCTGTGCCAGGCCATTATGCACTCGGATAGTATGCTTTCTATGGTGCATCTCTAACAGTTGATGAGAGTCCTTAGTGTGGTGAAGGCAGATTCAATTGGGACATTCAAGAAGGCGTTGAACAGTTTTTTTAGAATAGTGATGGTGCGCAGGGATATGGAGGAAAAGCAGAAGATTGACATTAGATAAAAACTAGACTAGATAATAGAGCTGGCGCAGGTGCAGGTGCAATAGGCAGAATGATCCCCTTCTGCACAATAATAAATTTGTCATTCTGTGTTAGGAAGATCACTAATTTCCAGTTTTCACCTTCCACAACCAGAAGTGGTGTGAACAACTGGTTAATATGGTATTGGATCAGGAAGTACACTAACCACCTAGAAGCTCAAAGCATAAATCTTTGAAATGAGAAAGGGAAGCCAAACGACAAAAACTTACAGTACATTCTAATGATGTCATTGAAAATGTCAGAATTTGATTTTCTGGAAAAAACCCCAACCTTAAAGTAACTGGTCAGAAATAATTATCATCCAATGTTATAGTATACCTGAAGAATTAAAGAGGTTCTAGAAAATGGTGTTGGAAAGCATGGTGAAGAGAGGAGAATAAAGGAAGAAATCATTCTCACAGAAAAACTATTATTCTTCTTGGCCTCTACTTAAAGTTTCAGTCTGTACTCAATGATATCCCAACAAATGTCTGTCTTGAGGGAGTCAACTGGTTTGCTGCTGCCTTGGTACAAGATCAGAATGATATGCTCCCAGAGCAATTTTACATACATGTGATTAAATGATTCCTTGACCTTTCCCAACCTGCAAATATTGTGACCATTCCCATTCTAGTTAAGCAAAGGGATAAAAGATTATCAGGGATATGCAGGATTGCAGATTTAAAGCTACAATCAGATCAATTGAGATGTTAATGTATAACCGAACAGACTTGAGGGGCTGAATGGCCTACTCTACTGCTAATTCTTATGTTCACTGGATTATACAATGCTTTTAAATAAAATTGAATGTGATGCACTTCAGGTTTCTTCTGGAATTTGTCCAATGACTACTCCACTCCTTTTTTCTCTACATCTAAGGCCTTCAAACAAATGTAAATGAGCCAAATTGGGTAATTTAAAAAAAAAATCATGGGCCGCGGGGATTCTCTGGCTGGTTCTATTTATTGCCTGTTCCTAGTTGCACTCGAGAAGTTGGTGGTAAGCTGCCATCTTGGACTGTAACAGACCATGAGGTGTAGGATACCTCCAATGCTATTGGGGATGGAGTTGCAGGATTTTGAGCCAAATCAGAATAGTGAGTGTATCTGCTGCCTTTGGTAATTTAGCTGGTAAAAGTAGCAGGAGTTGTGAATTGGGAAGGTGGTACCAATGTAGGCTTGATATGTTGCTGCAGTGCACACCCTAGATGGTATTCACAATTGCCACTGTACATCAATGGTGGAGGAAGTGAATGTTGATGGTTTTGTTTGGGATTCTTTGTTCCAGAAGGTGCTAAGCATCTTGGGTGTTATTTGAGCTGCACCCATCCAGGCAAATGGGAAGTATTCCTTCACAATCCTGAATAGTACCTTGCAGATAGTGGACAGGTTTTATGGAGTCAGGAGGGGAGTTGTGTATCACAGTATTCCTAAGAGGCTCAGTGCTGAGGGGGCTTCTCACTGTCAGAGGGTTGGCGCTGAGGGAGTGCCGCACTGTCGGATGGTCGGTGCTCCAGGAGCGCAGCAAGATTGGAGGGTCAGTACTATAGGGTCAGAAGTGATACCTTTTGGAGATGTCATATCAAGGTTTGAATAAGAGAATGACCAGAGAAAGGGTAGGGCCAATCAAGGAATGTAAAGGGAATTTGTGCACAGAACCGAAAGAGATAGGACAGGTCCTTAGGGAATACTTTCCTTCACAACTGAGAGGGATCTAGTTGTAGAGGAACACAGTGTGTAACAGGCTGGTAGGCTAGAGGAAGTGGATGTTAGTAAGGAATATGTACTAGGAATTTTGAGGAACTTGAAGATAGATAAGTTCCCCGGGCCTGATAGGATTTATCCAAGGATTCTATGAGAAGCGAGGGAAGAGATCGTAGGGCCTTTGGCAATGATCTTTTCGTCCTCACTGTCCATGGGTATAGTGCTGGAAGATTAGAGAGTGACAAACGTCATTCCCTTGTTCAAAAAAAAGGGAATAGGGATAACCCCGGAAATTACAGGCCAGTTAGTTTTACTTCAGTGGTGGGCAAATTATTGGAAAGGGCTCTGAAAGATAGGATTTATGATCACTTGGATAGGCACAGTTTGATTCATGATAGTCAGCATGGATTTGTGAGGGGTAGATCATGCCTCACAAACCTTATTGAATTCTTTAAAGAGGTGACCAAACACGTGGATGAAGGTAGAGCAGTGAATGTGGTATACGTGGATTTAAGTAAGGAGTTTGCTAAGGTTCCACATGGTAGGCTCATGCAGAAAGTAAAGAGGCATGGGATAGTGGGAAATGTGGCAGATTAGATTCAGAATTGGCTGACCCTTAGAATACATCGGGTGGTAGAGGACGGAAAATATTCAACATGGTGCTCAGTTACGAGTGGTGTACCACAAGGATCTGTTCTGGGTCCTCTTCTATTTGTGATTTTTGTAAATGATTTGGATGAAGGAGTAGAAGGGTGGATTAGTAAGTTCGCGGATGATACGAAGGTGAGTCGAGTTGTGGATAGTGCGGAGGGCTGTTCTAGATTACAAAGGGACACTGATAGGATGCAGAGCTGGGCTGAGAAGTGGCAGATGGAGTTTAGCCCTGAAAAGTGTGAGGTGATTCATTTTGGAAGGACAAATTTGAAAGCAGAATACAGGGTTAATGGAAAGATTCTTGGCAGTGTGGAAGAGCAGAGGGATCTTGGGGTTCATGTCCATAGTTCCCTGAAAGCTGCCACCCAGGTGGATAGAGTTGTTAAGAAGGCATATGGTGGGTTAGCTTTCATTAATAGAGGGATTGAGTTCAAGAGCCATGAAGTTATGCTCCAGCTGTACAAAACCCTGGTTTGGCCACATCTGGAGTATTGTGTCCAGTTCTGGGCGCCTCATTACAGGAAAGATGTGGAAGCATTGGAAAAGGTGCAGAGGAGATTTACCAGGATGTTGCCTGGAATGGAGGGAAGGTCTTACGAGGAAAGGTTGAGAGAGCTAGGGCTTTTCTCTTTAGAACGACGAAGGATGAGAGGTGACTTGATAGAGGTGTACAAAATGATCAGAGGTATAGGTAGAGTGGACAACCAGAGACTTTTTCCTAGGGTGGAGGTAGCTATTATGAGGGGGCATAGTTTTAAAGTGAGTGGAGGTAGATACAGGGGAGACGTCAAAGGTAGGTTCTTTGCTCAGAGAGAGTGGTAGGAGTGTGGAATGCATTTCTGGAGAGGGTAGTGGAGTCGGCCTCATTAGGGGCATTTAAGCAGCTATTAGATAGGCATATGGATGATAGTATAAGGTAGGGGCGGAGGTTAGATAGACCTTAGGATTAGGGTGAAAGTTCGGCACAACATCGTGGGCTGAAGGGCCTGTACTGTGCTGTACTGTTCTATGTTGTGGCAGTGTATCATTGTATGTAATTGTAGTGGCGTGGTACCGCTTGGGCACTCACCAGCTGAGCAGCTGCAGTCACATTTTCTGCTGATTCCATACAGAAAATGATTGGAAAGAAGCGGGCAGGATCCTGAAGAGTATGCATAATACACGTCTGTGAATAAAATCACAAAGAATCAGTTACTGGAACAATTTAGTTATTGCTCACATCAGCATCAATTCTAGCACATGCACTCTGTTTCAACAGATGGTCACTAACAGAATGATGTTGCTCCTTGGCCTGAAACAGCCCAGGACCATAGGTCCAACTGGCAGCTGCAAGGAGAGGGACTGTGCTGGAGAAAGAGCAGGTTATTAAGCTCCAAGATCGTCCTTAAATCTTGTTTCAAGTTAACTCTCAATTTGGACTAATGTAAGATTCAATTAGGTACATTGAGGATGAGGCCTGTTTATGATAAAGGGCATTTATAGCATTGAATGAGCCAATCACAGCTTAGTATAGGACCAAAAGCAATTTTCAAATTATCTTGCATTATTGGTTAACTTACCAACATCATTAGTTAACATATCAACATGGTTACTGCCATAAATTACAACAAGGTGATTCATCATAGTGACTTACAAACAAATTTGACACCAAGTCACATGAAGAAATTCAAAGATTTGTGATCAAAAACATGGATAAAATGTACATTTAAGTTCTGAAGGAGAAGAAGGAGAAGGGGGAGGTAAAGAATGGATGAGAGCAATGAGAATAAGAGCATGAGAACAAAAGTGACACAGAGGGCAAGAAAATGTTTAGGGAGTAAATTTGTGAAGTTTGGGCTCCAGGCAGCTAAAGACACCATCACCAATGACCTGGTGTTTGAAAAGGAGAGGATGCAGAGGAGGGCATGCAAGAGAAGGATCTGAAAACAAGGATGAGAATTTTAAACCCAACACATTTCCAAACCTGGAACCAATCTGGGCCAGCGAGCACCACAACTGATGGATGAATGTGACTTGGTGAAAGATAGCTTCGGATGAACGAAAGTTTATGGAGGATGCCAAGTGAAAAGCAAGTGAGGAAAATATTGGAACAGTAAAGGCACATATGAGAATTTCAGCAACAAATGAGCTGAGACAGGAATGTAGTTGGGAAATGGTTTGGTGGTGAACATAACTTATTGCTAATAAGAAAGAAATTAGGTCAGAAGCTCATGTTGAAGGCTAAACAATACCATCCCTCATCCCTCACACCCCGTCCACGCAATAAAAACCAAAAAAGAATCCCCCTCGTCCTCACGTACCA